AAGTGGGGTTTGGTGTGGAGTGGATTAAGTGTGAAGTCAGGAAGTGGTTGGGGTGTGACGTGGATTGAGTGTGAAGTCAGGAAGTGGTGTTTGGTGGGAAATGCATTTTTCTAACAGTTATATCCTGGCGTACAATGTAAATGTGGGAGCAAATTGATGCATGTCTCAGGCGTTGCCATTTTGGTGAAACCAGCGGTCACTGTGCTGACGTAGAATCAGCGATATTAAAGACAATACAGTACACTACGGTTATAACGAACTCAAAGATATCCGTCAGTTCGTTATAAACGTAGTTTACTGTACAACTCTTTATTACAATGAACGGTAAAATCAAAGAGTGACTTATCCTTGATGCCAATGCATGTTTTGTTCCAGTCATTGTACACTGAAACATTGTCGCACACACATTGTTTGTGGACTGGTGTAACCCTGCGGGGATTCGAACCCATGACCATTTAAATAAAAAACGTCCATTGTACGACTATGTCATGGATGGGGTGGGGTGGTACACGTGGTAAACGTCTGAGACTTGCATCACTTCGGACTTTCCTCCCACATTAAGCTGACATGCCGTGATATCAATGGAATACTGGTGAAAGCGGCGTTCAACCCAATCAATCACTCACTCACTATATCACGAGCATGTGTTTATGGATCACTTTCAAATAGTGATGGTACCAGGTGTTCGTGAAAAGGTGAGCGTATCCTGTCCCATCGGTGGCACCATCCCAAACACATGCAAAAGCTAGTCAATAGGCTCACATGGGAAGCTGTACACATTCGTTGTCCATAACGGGATTTATTGATGACAGGGGATTATGTCCTTATGGAATAGTTGCACCAGAATAGGAATCTGTACATACGACTGACATAAAAGCAAATACATTTTAGGTTAATTGCCAGATTGGCCCGTCACAATTTCTGTAAGAGTATAACAATACAACTGTCTAGCGCAATCACAAATCAGCATGCATATGGCTACATCCATAAACAGACGTGGCTACAAACAGTTGACGGCAGTCTGACTGACCAGATAGCAAACGATCTATAACGCTAATATTAACATCCTTCTAGCTTTCCTTTGCGCCATAAAGCCATGCTTCCAATATTAGTCAGGAAACGCGAACGCCATTGGTATTCCTTACAAGCGATCAGAATTGTAAACGGATAAGCAGGGGTAGATTCATTATTCATATTTTCTTTCGCGTCTTGCTCTTTTAGGAAATTACTTTTTGGAGACTTTATCGTTCCTGTTTTTATAGCTTCACTTGGGATCATACTGACGACTTACACGCTTAAACAATGAAGGATGTCAGAGTGTTTAGTAAGTGCTCAGACGCTGCTATGAGCAATATTTCCACAAACTCAAGTCCGAAGCTTCATACATAGTATATTTTCAAATTGCGAGGAATCAAACCTGGTTCTTCGGGTATCAAACCGCCTTTAAAAATTGTAACATAGCAACCGTTTATAGTATTGCATGTCAAAGAGGAATTAATGGTTGGCTAAGCAGTTTGGCAAATGGCTTCATTAGCAGATAGCAGGACTTCCATTCCGCTGCTTTTTTTTTTACAGTAATCGCTCTAAAGTTATCACTATACAAAGATGACCAACAACTATACACATGTCCGTGGATCGTACACACGTTACTGACGTTTCTATCTTGCAATAGACTCTGCACTCCCTAGGCTGTCTATGTGACACCTGATATGGTCTGCTGATATCATGAGTTACATGACAAAAAATTTTTTTCAATCTTTTCTAATCCTTCAAATTCTGGTCTTCGGTAAAATTCCTTTCTGCTCATATTCTTTTTGAACACAAGATAAACTTGCTTTGAGACAACTTTTGCATCATATGAGGTTTACATATACGGCTTATAACAATCGTACATCTCGTTATAATAATCATCATTAAGTGCCAAAAGTAACAGCTCACAAATATGGTGGGTGGCGCTTAACTTTTGTGCATGTGTATATCTTCAAGAGACTGAGCTGAGCGAGATTTGCAGTCAGTGTATATTCATAGTTATCGATAGTGCGGAAGAACCTGTCATTTTTGAAAGAATTCATATTGACACCAACGTCCCCGCTGTCAACGTTGACACCGATCTGAAGTAAATCCTTACATTAGAGACGACGTGTGGGTGGACACTGCGGTATTAACGGTCAGTTGTGTTCCCATGCGGTCCATGAGGTCAAGTCGAGAAAGTGATTCTTGCTCAGCTAGAGGCGCTGCTGATATCTGGATAATTTCTTCTAATGGATGAGAATTTATTGGTTATAGATGACACTTGAAGTAAATCACGACGGAAGATGTCTGTATAATACATGTCATAAAGCGATTAGTAGGGAATTATATAATGCGAGAAGACCCTTTCCATATCCAATAGAAATCTTTTATAAGAAATTGTGACAGTAATCCTTATATTATAGAGGACATGTGGATGGACACGGGTGGACCTCTCATGACGTTACAGCCTCCAGATCACACAACTTCCAGGGGATCCGGAGAGTCCGTGAGTGAGTGTTGTTTATCGCCGCAGTCAACATCATTCAAGCTTACCTCGGCGGCCTATGATTAGTCTGGACCAGACAAACCAATGACTGAAAGCATCAGTAACGACCCACGCCCTCGGGTTATGATGACACGAAATCAACCACGTGACCACTTCTGACCACATTGACCTATGACCTGCGTCATTGCCACGAAGTGGTCAACGTCTGAGGCCTCGGGCTTTCCTCACACAATACTTTGACAGACCGTGAAAGACTATTCACATCGGTGTTAAACCATAAACTAACCAGTTGGGTGAACCCCCCGGACACGGGTATAGTCCAGACAGACGCAGTGCGAATCTGGGAGGCAAACCCGTAATCAGTGGCACATTGTGGTACGTGACCTTGTTCTGTCAATACCTGCATCCACAGGACCTCTTCTTTACAATATCTTGGGGCTTGAACCTGGTCCACCAGCGAGACCAGTGGACGCACGTACAACGCCCCCATTGTCCCACAGAATCACCACGGCGCTTATTACTAGATATGTAGCTGTTGTTGATTTCTCTTAATCTCTGAGATCTCTGAGATCATCGTGACATTGAGACCTGCCTTGGTGTCTTCACGTGGCTTTGACCTTTCATCACCGCAATCAAACCCATCAGTATCAGCGCCTTCCTCCAATCACACTTCCTGTATCGTATTCCACAGCCAAGAGAGATGTTCAAGAATAACACCTATGTATTCCCTAATGAGTTTCATTAGAACAATTTATACATCTTTTTTACTTCCACTTTGTAATACTTTTTTCCCTGTGGGATGCTTCTTAAAGACATACGTAAACGTTTAATTGGTTTCTACAACATGAAGGACGTTGAATGTTCTTAAAAGGTGTTACAAGATACGTTTGTTTGTAACAGATACGTTTGTCTACTTCCGTGAGCAGCAGCTTCATCGGCTTTAATGACGCACACTGCGCGCATATATACATCATGTTCTTTCGTTGAGTACTAAGCTCAATGTATGTAGTAGGGCGGATGTGGTAAAGGATGGGATATTTTAGTGCACTGCATTCACTGCCAAGTAGATAGACTTCAGCTACTTCAATGTGAAAATGTTGGTTTTCATCAACATGTTAAAGGGATGAAAAAGTCGCCTTGGCGTTGAAGGAAAAAACCCTAGACATTTTAAAGGGATCAGTTTTAAAACCTTTCAATTAATCTTAGCCATAAAACCCGCTCAAACCATGTAAGTGATCTTTTAATAAGAACGCAATTACGAAAATACTATTTGAAAGCTATTAGGTGTCTGAAATTGAGTCAAAATATGCTTTAAAGGAATTACCCAATGATTGGCAACACCCAAGTCTGCACGAGCGAGTAAGCAATTTGAAAACTTGCCGCAAAATACAGAAGCATGTTGATTACGACTTGAGATATTTCCTCCACCTTTAGGTCAACTATCAGGCTCCTTACATATGTTTTTGAACATATGACAAACTAACCATTCGCGAACACATGGTATCATCACTATAAGATTCATAACACGTGCTCATGAATATTGTTGGAATCGTACAATCGACTTAGCAAAGATTCGTTATGTTTGTTGCTTGTATTAACTTGTAACAGATTGCCCATAAGATATCCGATAGGGGGATCCCAGGTCAGACTGCACCATGACGGTGGCAAGTACCGACAAGCGTGAGTATCGGGTGGTAACAATGTATGACCTTACTAATTGTGTTCCATCGTACCCCGGAGACGTGGGACATGATTTGTTCGTGGTATCAACCACTAGTTTGCCTGTCCCTGACTTTTTTATTAACAGGTCATGGTCTATTGCTGACTACGGCGTAAATAAACACTCACTCACTGACGTTCCCTGTAATCAATGTCATCAGGACACTCTCACAGTAGGGAGGACGTCTCAGCGCACTTATCAATGTCATCAGGACACTCTCACAGAAGGGAGGACGTCCCAGCGCACTTATCAATGTCATCAGGACACTCTCACAGTAGGGAGGACGTCCCAGCGCACTTATCAATGTCATCAGGACACTCTCACAGTAGGGAGGACGTCCCAGCGCACTTATCAATGTCATCAGGACACTCTCACAGAAGGGAGGACGTCCCAGCGCACTTATCAATGTCATCAGGACACTCTCACAGAAGGGAGGACGTCTCAGCGCACTTATCAATGTCATCAGGACACTCTCACAGTAGGGAGGACGTCCCAGCGCACTTATCAATGTCATCAGGACACTCTCACATTGGGGAGGACGTCCCAGCGCACTTATCAATGTCATCAGGACACTCTCGCGGTAGGGAGGACGTCCAAGCGCACTTATCAATGTCATCAGGACATTCTCACAGTAGGGAGGACGTCCCAGCGCACTTATCAATGTCATCAGGACATTCTCACAGTAGGGAGGACGTCCCAGCGCACTTATCAATGTCATCAGGACACTCTCACAGTAGGGAGGACGTCCCAGCGCACTTATCAATGGATCAGGACACTCTCACAGTAGGGAGGACGTCCCAGCGCACTTATCAATGTCATCAGGACATTCTCACAGTAGGGAGGACGTCCCAGCGCACTTATCAATGTCATCAGGACACTCTCACAGTAGGGAGGACGTCCCAGCGCACTTATCAATGTCATCAGGACACTCTCACAGTAGGGAGGACGTCCCAGCGCACTTATCAATGTCGTCAGGACACTCTCACATTAGGGAGGACGTCCCAGCGCACTTATCAATGTCATCAGGACACTCTCACAGTAGGGAGGACGTCCCAGCGCACTTATCAGTGTCATCAGGACACTCTCACATTAGGGAGGACGTCCCAGCACACTTATCAATGTCATCAGGACACTCTCACAGTAGGGAGGACGTCCAAGCGCACTTATCAATGTCATCATGACACTCTCGCGGTAGGGAGGACGTCCCAGCGCACTTATCAATGTCATCAGGACACTCTCACATTGGGGAGGACGTCCCAGCGCACTTATCAATGTCATCAGGACACTCTCGCATAGGGGAGGACGTCCCAGCGCACTTATCATTGTCTTTAGGCCACTCTCACAGAAGGGAGGACGTCCCAGCGCACTTATCAATGTCATCAAGACACTCTCACAGTAGGGAGGACGTCCCAGCGCACTTATCAATGGATCAGGACACTCTCACAGTAGGGAGGACGTCCCAGCGCACTTATCAATGTTATCGGGACACTCTCACAGTAGGGAGGACGTCCCAGCGCACTTATCAATGTCATCAGGACACTCTCACATTGGGGAGGACGTCCCAGCGCACTTATCAATGTTATCGGGACACGAATACACTGCTTGCTATAATGTTGAGAAAGAAGAAATGTTTCCATTATTCATGAACTATTCAACTGATGTGAAAATAACCTATCTGCTGGAAGTAATTAAGTCAGCGTAGGAAACTGTTCTGGTTTTCTACCATGCTCTGCTCAATTTGATATGAATTAAATGTTCACCGTAATTGCCGCACAGTCCATTACTGACAGTCGCTGTGTATTATCTCAACATGCTTTGACCATGCGGCTAATGTTATCGACAGAAGTTGGGATTATTACTGTAAATGGAGGCTACACGAATCTATCCGAGGAGATGGGGTACCTCTATGAAGAGTCATCACAGTTTGGGAAATGCACAACCTTCCTGTCTTGTAGTCAGTATTCTGTGATGTTAGTGATTGTATTCCAAGGAGGAACTGAAGAGTATACAGTGAACTACGTTTATAACGAACACCCAATAACGAACTGACGGATATAACGAACACATTTTTTTGCCCCTATCTTTTGCTCTTTATACATGTATATATGCTTATTACGAACTACGTTTATATCGCACTAAAATCAGTAGCACCTTTGAGTTCGTTATAACCATGGTTTACTGTAATATAATATTGTATGCTTGATGGTACTTATTTGCTTAATTTGGATGTAATGGTAGAATACGTTCGTGACATGTGTTCTATTGCAATTTCTCTCTGGTTAAAGCGATTGCCTCTACAAATCTTCAGTGCTCACATGGGTGAAATGATTGTAGATTGTAGCTATATGACGGCCGTCTGTATATAATCGAGTCTGGACCAGACAATCCAGTGATTCACATCATGAGCGTTGATCCACGCTATTGAGATCGATGAAATGCATCAACCAAGTCAGTGAACCTGACCACCCGATCCCTTTAGTCGCCTCTTACGTTCTGCAAGACACTGTGTATCTTTACACATAGTTCTTTCATTATGTTTTATTCGTTTTTTTCCGAAGTTCCTGACTGATTTGGTAAACGTTATTAATCTTCACACACATTAGATTGCCAACTGTGTGACACATGGATATTGATTTCATAACTATTGTAGACATCATGCGATGCTGAACACATACGGGCTTAAACACGATATCAATATCTTTAATTTCAGACGTGCAATACGACCATGGGATATATTGATAAGAATACTTAATGTTCACCATGCGGTGGTTTTCTATATTTTCCTAACAGGTGATCAATGGATTCACATGCATTTGTATTGAATAACTCCGGGAGGTTTTCAGAACAAGACAGATCCTCTGGACCCGTGGTGTCTCATGGAACGATCAATGTCTGATCGCGTGTAGTAGTTAGCTGACTGTTTTGGTCATTGCCTGTGGTCTCCTCAAATGTTTTGTCTGAGGTTCGCTTTTTTACAGACCGCTGCTGTGATGCAGGACAACTGCGGTGCCAAACAACATTCAATCACCAAATGGAATAATAGATCCCGAGACTAAGTGCGGTTCAAAATGGATATTGCATGGCTCCATTTCACAAAGCGATCGTAGAGCTTCGACTGTCGTAAGTAAAACGGAGCCCTGGTCGTTGGTATTACAATGCGTGGCAGTCATCAAAGATGCCCATCAAATGTCTTGAGGAGACTGAACAAGATTTGATTTCGGTATATATTCATGGAAAGGTCATAGTAGAGCTTGATTATTCTGAAAGTTACCATTTTGGGCACCGTCGGCCAATCCTGTGACGACAATCAGACCACAAGTGCATACTTCTAGGACAAGAAGGCGGACACGGTGGACTATGGATTGTGACAGAATGAGGTTCAGTGTTGGTAATATCAGGTCAATTGTTCTCATGATCCGACTCCTTCTTGTAATAAATAAGGTGCTATCAGGAACACATCGTCACTTGAGCAGAAGCAGGATTGCCTGGCCTACTACTACTACTACTACTACTACTACTACTACTACTACTACTACTACTACTACTGCTGCTGCTGTTACTTCTACGGCTACTACTATTTCTACTACTACTACTGCTACTTCTGCTGCTGATGTTACTGCTACTGCTACTTCTGCTTCTACTACTACGCTACTCTACTACTTTGTCTACTGCTACTACTACTGCTGCTGCTGCTGCTACTACTGCTGCTACTACTGCTACTACTACTACTACTACTACTACAGAATGTTAACATATATGAAACAAACAAGGACCAAATGATCGTTTCAGAATCCGCTGGACGTGATTTCGATTCCCAGTTTCCCACCTGATTAGGATTCTAAGTCTGACAGAACCATGCTCGAGTGCTTTACTAGAAATAAAACAGTTTCATTATATTATAATTTATATACCGCACTTATCAAGCCATCTCAATGCCGTTTTATATTTATATTTTATATTTGTCCCCGATCAGTTGATCCATATACACTCCCTGGGGAGTATACAACCCATGCTGCACCGGAAGGTTTTACATCCACCTCACACGTTAGCCATTCCTCGCGCTTTAAGTCGTGCTTAGGTCCCAGACAAGCAGGTAGGTCTTCAGAAGCTCTCCTGTCTCAACAGAACTTTACAAAAATTATGGCAAATCGCAGTCGTGTGAGATTGATTCCATAACGCATAATGGCAATAGAATCAGCTCAGTTGCATGATCAGGAAGAATAACGATCGACCCACGGACCAAAGAAAAACGTTTTTTAGCCAGTCGATGATTTAGTATGTTCCTCAGATGATTTGAAGCTGTTTGAAGATGCGTGTTGGCCCTGGCGGAATCAAAGGCTTTTGTGGGCTGTTTTGTTTCTTTCATGTCGCAACAATCGGAAACGATAGAAAAACTGTTTCTTTAAGCGGTTTTTTAATGAATGATTTATGAAATGAACATCGTCAAATTAAAATCGATATAATCCCTACAAGCGAAAGATATTTTTCACGTCGAATATGCCAGATAATTAGGATACGGGAAATTAGTTCTTTATTCCTTGGACCCGTGAAGATCCGGGGTAGAATAGGTCTTCAGCAACCCATGCTTGCAGTGACAGGCTACTGTGCTTGTCTAAGAGGCGAGTAACGGGATCGGGTGGTCAGGCTTGCTGACTTGGTTGATGCATGTCATCGATCCCAATTGCGTGGATCGATGCTCATGATGTCAATTACTGGATTGTCTGGACCAGACAGACCGCCGTCATATAGCTGGAATACTGCTGAGTGCGACGTAAAACAACAAACAAACAAAACCTTGTACAGATTCAGATCAGACCAGGGTTCTATGCCAGGATAAAGCTAGTAAAGCTGCGTCCCTCATGGTTTATTTGTCCTGCAGTGGTTCATTGTACGATAAACAACCCCCACCCGTCGTTTATTTCTTTCACAACCATTTCCATTTTAGAACAATATAATCGTATGGTAGGAAGTATGTGTGTTCCATCTTTGTCAAATAAACATCGAAAGGCTCATCCGGAAATTATTCCGAAATTATTTCCGATGTTCTCTCTTTAAATCCTGACTTCACTGGGACAATGAACTTCAGCTCCCCTGGCGGAGGAAAGGTGTCATGAATAAAAGCCCTACCTGGCCACACAGGTCCTTAGCCCCCTGATTGCTGGTAATTGTGCGTCAGTGTTTACACAAACGATGCCCTAGATGTATATTTAATACCCGGGTACCAGTCGAACCCGATAATAATCGGAAGAATGTGGCACTAAACCAGTCATTTGAAGCTGGCTTTCGGCATTGTCTGGGCATTTAATTCCCCCATCAACACAAAAAGTCAGCATACAGACAGGAACATTAGCCCTGGGACTGCTGTGCCCCGTCAGCAATACTCGAGCTGCTGTCGGAAATGTCGACATTGCTGCTATTGATTGTGAGTGAGAGAGCATGGTTTTACGCCGCTTTTAGCAATATTCCAGCAATATCACGGCGGGGACACCAGAAATGGGCTTCACACATTGTACCCATGTCGGGAATCGAACCCGGGTCTTCGGCGAACACTAGGCTACCCGACCGCCCCTTAGTTAAAGGGTACCCAGATAGATAAAGGTGTTAAAGGACTAAACACCTATAGTTTCGATAGTTCCATTGTTGCCAGAATATAGAGAATGCCTATGACGTCAGTCCCAGCCATGTATATAAGATGAAGGCACCAACAAGTCAAGAAAATTTATTTCCATTTTCGAAATCTGTAGTGACGATGAGTACGTGTTGTATCAAGAGAATCGGGAATGCTATTGGTAAAGGTCACGGCGAGGACCTGGTTCGATGTACAGTGTCTAAATATGACACTTACTGTTGAAGAAAAGGCATCAACGATGCCAAGAATGTCCGTGCCCTCGTGATGAATTCGTATCGGTGCGTATGCCCTTTCACAGAATCACTCAGAACGAGTACAGATACACGCCAGCATGAGAATAACAGCAGGATGTCATGTAAAGTATACAACATATCTTTATTAATAAATAAAGTTCATTTTGTCTGATGCTCCTTACCCGCAAATGTCTAAAGTTTTCAGGCCATTTCTTTTGACAATATACGCGTGTAGTGCATCAAATTTGGTCTTCCTGAACGACAGTGTATTTGTCTAC